CTAAGAGTAATGTGAGGCCAAATCAAGACGATCGCAATTTGAACTGTCACATCAAGCTTCAGGAACTAGCTATCCATGTGTATTCAGGTTGGCCAGGAATTGCATGTAGCAGTGGAAGTGACAGGCGTCACGTATTGATACGTTACGTACATAAAACTTACATGCCTCCAATGCCATAAGTATGAAATTCTCAGCATGAACCACTTTAGAAATATGTAAACGTCATGTGCTTTACCAGGCATAATTTTTACAAGCATATATCACAGGTACTTTCATCATACCTACTTTTTGCCAGGTTTCCTTAAATCATCAAAACTATACGTGCAGTTGCACTAATTTTCATTAGTGTTTTAGTTCAAAATTGCGTACATTAGAAAAAAGTAGTATGGAATAGTGTGACAGGGCTTTTCCTTGGTTCTGAAAAGCTTGTGTAAGACACATTCAAGGGTCCCCATACCTGTGCAGGTCCTGTAAAGCGGTAAAGAACATCATATGTCAATAAACATGTTCGACTTACCGCATTGATGATACTCAGCCCTGCTGGTCTGTCCGAAGACTGCAATGTTAGTTGTATCCCAGTCAATCACGTTGCCATGGTAACTACAGTCCGCTGCTATTTCTGCTGGAGACAGCACGCGGTCCCATAGGTTCACTTCCGACAGCTCTCCGGTGAAGGCCTGTTTTGCGTTAAATCCTCCCCCGACTTCGTCTTGGTCCTGACCGAGGATCCATGTTCCGCCTCTGCGCACTCTTCCTCCCACTTTGAACCCGGAACCCGAATCCCTCAGCACGCCGTCAGCGTACAGCTGCCAGGCTCCATCACTGCTGCGCCAGGTAGTACATATGGTGTGCCACTCACCGTCCCAAACTGGTAGGTCTGCCATTTGGATTTTGCTTTGGATGTGTAACTGAATGCAAAAAAATGACATGAGCCAAAAGATTTTAAAATATCTAGTTCACTTTGTACCATGGTATGGATGAAACATCTGTTTTCTCCCATGTCGTCTCCTGCCATTTCGTTAAACTGAAATTTCGCACGGAGGTAAAGTGGGCAAATACGACTAGCTTTTTCCTCATTTTTGTTTAATGCAGGCCTTTAATTTTTTTTTAGGTTGTTTTATTTCCCTTTCATCCTAGTCAAAATTTTGTTTTTTTCATGAGAAAATAAATTCTTGTGCTTGACTAAACTATATATCAGGACATACTTGCACATAGTTTACACACATATCCAGCATAAGCAAGCAATAGACAGCAGAAGCTTAATATCAAAAATGACTTTACTTACTGTAAATCCACCCTTAAATCCATAAAAGAGCAGCTCGTTGCTGTGTTCTGGCACTGCGTAGCTGACCAAGCTGATCATGCTGGAGACCAAGTTGGAGCGCATGTGCACACAGAGGGTAAAGCTGGTTAAGTCCTCAGACAATGTGGTCTCCATCCTGGCATAGTCATCAATGCTTCTTGGACCGGGGAAGATGATCTTCTGTGAGTCGCCTGGTACAACTAACACAGGTTGAAGACATGTGACAATGTGGTTTGGAAGTCATCAAGAACTCTACAGCTTTAAATCGCAATCTGCAAGATTCAAAGTAAAGAAGTACAGTGCCGCGCCGGCCGAGTGACATCAATGGTAGCATCTTTCATTGTTGGTGAAATAGGACAGATTTAGAAAAGAAAATACAATCATGTAAAACGAGAAAGCCAATCATTTACTCCGGAGGAAATACATCATATTTCACTCCATCTCCCTCCCCATTCTTAAATGGACTGCTTCCATATCTAGCCTCTTTTGAAGTCTTATTGGGCGTCGTCGTTATTTTTTTCTGTGAACGACGCGAGTATTATGCCGCCGCGAAGGACGATTAGCTGCCGAGGGAGTTTTTGCCGCGGAGGAGCGCAAATCCTTCTCTCCTTCAACATTATGCAATCAACAAGCGTGGAAAGTCCGATTCTTTCTTGCCAGAAAAGGCAAGATGATGTGTGCGTGGAAATCTACCATTAAATAAATCAGAAAATTAGAGGACTTACCGCTATTTTGACGGCGGCTCTGAAAGGATAGCTCATCAGCACTAGCGCCTCTTCCTCTTTTCTGTATAATTTAAAAGACGAGTTAGCTGTCTAGTCTCTCTCTCTCTCTCTCTCTCTCACACACACTTTCTTTTCTTTCTTTTTCTCTCATTACTGGTGGACGCAGATGCGGAAACATTTTCAGACTACATACTGTATGTCTTTACATACTGTATTGGATTTTCATAAATTGGTTAATGCAGAGAATACATCAAGCATAGGACAGAAGGTAATATGTTAACGATCTGTCAGTAGTGACGAAAAAAGCTAGCCCTGGAAGCATCCTACATGCCCTTGTACGTAGATTTCCGGACTAGGCTGGTAGACTTCAGGATATCTGTGTAAATACAGCTTGCCTAGAGGACAGATGTAAACACCCATTGACACAAATAGATAGTACAAACCATTTCAATTGAGGTCCTTACGAGATTTTCGAGGTCCTCAGCATCTTGTCCTCTCTTTTCTGTTGCTCCTGTTGACGACACATCAGCGTCTCGGGTGTCTCCATCGGTGCCCTTGGTGTCTCCATTAGCGTCTCCGGTGTCTCCACCGGTGCCCTCGGTGTCTCCATTTGCGTCCTCGTTGTCTCCATTTGCGTCCTCGGTGTCTCCATCGGTGCCCTCATTGTCTCCATCAGCGTCTTCGGTGTCTCCATCGGTGCCCTCGGTGTCTCCATTAGCGTCTCCGGTGTCTCCATCGGTGCCCTCGGTGTCTTCATCAGCGTCTCCGGTGTCTCCATCGGTGCCCTCGGTGTCTCCATTAGCGTCTCCGGTGTCTCCATCGGTGCCCTCGGTGTCTCCATCAGTGTCCTTGTTGTCTCCATTTGCGTCCTCGGTGTCTCCATCGGTGCCCTCATTGTCTCCATCAGCGTCTTCGGTGTCTCCATCAGTGTCCTTGGTGTCTTCACCAGCGTCGCCGGTGTCTCCATCGGTGCCCTCGGTGTCTTCATCAGCGTCTTCGGTGACTAAATCGGTCCCTTCCGTGTCTTCCATTTCTCCGTCAGTGTCTGCATCGGTGTCTGTAATAATAACACAACTAGCAGACTGGCGTGGAAAAGTCTTAGTCCCCACCAGACTTCTTTTGCAGACTGAATAAATCGTGCGGTTGTCTCACACAACTGAGCGGTATATCCAGCAGAACTGTATGATATGTATCACAGAGCTGTGCGCTATATCCCCCAGAACTGTACAGCCTGGTATGTCTCACAAAACTGTGCGGTATATCCTGCAAAACTGTGCGCCATATCCCGCAAAACTGTACGGCGTATCACGCAAAACTGTGCGGTATATCCCGCAAAACTGTACGACATATCCCGCACAACTACACGGCATATGTCATATCACGAAAAACTGTGCGGTATATCCCGCAGACCCGTGCGGTATGCCCGGGCCAGCAGAAATTTGCGGACCTTTCGCAGAAATTGAGTGAATTTCGCAGAACTATTCGCAATACGAAACGCTCCTGCGACACCTCCTCTGCAGAATTCCGGAAGAAACCATAGCCCCTGATCATAATCTCCAAGCAGATTCGGTTGGGCAAGGGGACCTTATGTTGGCCGCCGGTATCCATTGTCCGTACCCTAGCCGAACAGGTTGTCCGGTGTTCGGAAGCAGTCTGATCAGATTTAGGCCATGCCTATCTTCCGCGACGACCAGGTCCTAACCATTTCGGAACCATTCCGAGAACAATCCTGAAACCAACCCAGAATGCTTGCCAACCTACTTCCAATCAGCTGACTCCTAGCCGAAGACTGCCGACTTCTTTCGAACCATATTCCAACCATGTCCCGAATGAAAATTTGCAGAATCGGGGGACCATTAAGCACAAATATGCTTTGCAATGAAAGCTGGACTTATAAGCTTCAGGCTTTAGGGCGGCCCCTGTCACACATTCATGAAATTGGCCTTCCGAACGCGTTAACGCTAGCCGAACTCCCGCCAACCATGGTTAGTAACCACGGTTTGGCTGTGCCAGCCGAATGTTTCAAAACTTTTCTCGTAAACTGGCCACGGTCGAATTTCGATATGTAAATTTAATCGGTAAAATGACCACCATTGAATTTCGTTGTATCCGTCCCATCGGAAAGAGCAAAGAAAATTATGTAGCATGTACTAGCTTCTTTTAACCCCGTTTATTGTAATGATTGCGGCTCTATCGATAGGTCATTTTGTTTCTCCCCGAGTGGATCGAGGCCCCAAAACTTGTATTTTTACCAATCTTCCGACACAAGCAATTTCTAAGTCGGTGTCATCATGTCATAAATAACTGTACTGACGGCCCAACACGGAACACACCCTCACATATACATGTAGACAAAAGTTCCAGGTGTGACAAAAAAGGGGGAAAATGTGAAAAAGTGTTTTATTTCCAGGTGTAAACAACCGATTGCACCCTCCGATATTTAAAAGAAAACGTTCCAACTTTCTTCGAATTCGAGCCGACCAATAGAACACCGCACGTAAGAACGCTTTGTCCAGTATGTGTCAGGAAGTGGTAAGTTATATGTACGTTTATTTCCGATAATTAAGAAAACTTCCATCGTACGCGTGATGTGCTGATAATGGCCGAAACTAAATGGAGTAAACATAAATATGCCTACGATGCTGTAATCACAACATGCTTAAAAACAACAGCAGAAGCATTTATTATGAAAGCAACACAACAAGAAACCTGGCGTGTGAAACCTCAGTGCGCTAAAAGTAGCAGGGATTTGTAGTAGTTGGTAAATAGACACTTTTCACATATTGGAAAGACCGAGACAGCTATCCAACATATAAAACACAAGTGAAGCTGAGATGCCCCCATTTTCCTGTCACTTGTTTCCACAAAAAAATCTGAACAAAACTTGTATTTTTTTGTCATAATCAACGCATAACATGAACTTGCGCGCACTGAGCGTGTAAATAAGTCCATATAGAATTAGCAACTGTATACAGCCAAGAAATATAGAAGGCAATTCTTACCAGTCACTCCAGAGGAGCAAAGACCCAAAAACACCAAGGTGAAGAACTTCAGGTGCATGCTCTTCATCTTTGTTCACAGAAGTGCGAAGACCAGACCTAAGAGTGTCACCTGAAGAAAATAACAGATTGGAAGGCAAGTCAGACTACGGGACTGTCATTTGTTAGTGATTGGTATTTAAATTTTGACTAGCATCCCGGTCAAAGTTACTGATCCGACATACACATACGTGTCTAGAATCTCGAGCTCTTGCTTGGGTTAGGTGAAGTACATCAAAATATAAAGAATCTTCATACTGGATTCTAGATTTGACTCTGTTTTTTACAAAACGGAGCGAAAGGGAGTAAGCCAGAGATTCGCAAACGTAGGGAAAGGATGAGCAACATCAATCTGTAAATTGCTTCATTATCAAATACTAGTAGACATTCTCTCTGTATGTAAAGGGACGGGAGGTTTGAAATTCCCATATGTTTAGCTGATACTCTGGATCTTTAGTTATCATTATCAATGCGTTACTCTCATGGTCCGCTTTTGGATCAAAGTCAGAAAGCTGAAACGTCCTGAAGCCCCCTATCCATATAGAGACCAATTTCACTGGCCGGTCATATAGCTAGCAGCCTATTTTGTTAACTCTTGTACTTCATTAGCCCCGTCGTGCCTCCCTTTTCAGTCCTTCCCGCTCAATGTAACACTTAATAGGTAGATACTCCGGGTTTTAAGTATAACTGAATTTTTCAAGTTTACTTATGTAGGAAAGGACCTTATCTATAAGCTTAGTTTAGCGTTTCTCGATTCGATCGAGTTAATCTTCATTTTTCATCACATGTAGAACAGATGTCAGTGTAGACGTTTGCCATATCGTTGACTTATTGACGCCATATACGAACTTATTATAAATTTCAGGGGCTTAAACATTTAATGGTAATTTTATCAAGACCTGGAATCATTAATAGTTATCTCGAAAAGTAGCGGGTCTATGGCCGTCAAACTCGGTCAGAGGATGGGCGAACATGTTAACCCAATACGGCGCTATAAAATTTTGCATATTGTCCAGGAATTGTCTTAAAATGGGCAATATTTCTAACTTTTTTGGTCGTTTTTGAGACGATTTTGCTGTTGTGTGGACTGGAGCTGAACCGTACGAACTGTAGCTGGACCGTGCGTACCGGAGCTGAGACCGTGCGTACCGGAGCTGAGACCGTGCGGCCCGGAGCTGAGACCGTGCGGCCCGGAGCTGAGACCGTGCGGCCCGGAGCTGAGACCGTGCGGACCGGAGCTGAGACCGTGCTTATCGGAGCTGAGACCGTGCGGACCGGAGCTGAGACCGTGCGGACCGGAGCTGAGACCGTGCGGACCGGAGCTGAGACCGTGCGGACCGGAGCTGAGACCGTGCGGCCCGGAGCTGAGACCGTGCGGAACGGAGCTGAGACCGTGCGGCCCGGAGCTGAGACCGTGCGGACCGGAGCTGAGACCGTGCGGAACGGAGCTGAGACCGTGCGGACCGGAGCTGAGACCGTGCGGCCCGAAGCTGAACTATCGTTCTGGCGGCGGCGGCCTGCGCAGCCCTTCCCGCACCTACTTTGCCCGAGGTGTTCGAGTTGCTATGGCGTTGCTAAGGGGGCGTGGCTTCGGGATCGGTCAATTAATCTGAGAATTTGACAATTTAGTAGTCATTTTATGACATTTATCACGGGAAGGGCTCACTTTGTATGCTCCACCTCTTCGGAGGATGATTGATGATGATGATGATGATGGCTCATTCCATTGATCCAAGATGGCGGCCGAGGTAGGACGCGCAATGCCACGCTCCTGCTGAAAAGTCATATATTGCGTCTTTCCTAGTAGTTCCTATGAAATAGTTCCTTCTAAGTGTTTGCAAAGTTAGTCAATCCTATCACCTCTATACTTGAGGATATTTCTAGATCTTTTAGGTCAAGTTTAGCCAAGTTTTAGCGCATCCGACAAGATCCAAGCGAACCCTTGCCGGACGCCATGACGAAAGACAGCGGCGATCTCTATCACATACTAGGAGTCGAATACAACGCCAGTCAAGGAGATATCGTCGAAGCTTACAAGAAAGAAGTCAACAGCTACGAAAATGCTTCAAAACTCAACAAAAAGGGTCCCCTCTTCAAGAAAGCTGAGACAAGATATCGGGAGGTAAGCAAGGCCTTTGTTGTTCTGTCAGACGAATCCCGAAGAAAACAATATGACGCTGGCTCTCCTGCTTCAAACACCCCCAAGATCAACAGACAAAGAACTGGCTATCAAGTAAAGTTCAACGAGCAAAGCGTCACCATCTTTCTACCTCAAAACCTAACAAAAACCTGGCTTACGACTTGCGAGAAACACTATGACACTCAAGCGATGGACGGAGGGAAGAACGGTCAACAGATCAAGACATCGTTTCTAGACACCAAGTCGCGCCAAGTTCTCGGATCGGTCAGCATCAAATTCTACGAGTCAACTCATAAGCTACTGATCCAAGGTTCCGCGTATCTCCTGTGGCTTGCTGAAGTTTACCCAGAACTCATGAACTCCATTAATCCCACTTCTAATAACAGTCCTGACAACGCCGCAACTCACGTACAAGCGTCGATGCCGGAACCCCACTCTACACCGGCGGATTCAGTCGTACCCCTCCCGCCCTGTCCTACATGTGACCAACCGGTAGAGTCAGACACTTGTGACTGTAACACAGTACCTAAGGATGTAGTGGATGTCAACAGCAACCATATTAATGGTCCTGAAAGCGAAAGTCAAACTGAAACCAATGTCCTTGTTGAAACCACAGATGACAAAGATTCCAAGATGGCGCACGAGAGTGTCACCTCTAATTACTCTATTGTTCAGGAGAGTGTGGCCAAACTCGAAACGTGTCTTGCAGAAAGTATCACAGACAGAAAAGTGTTTGAAGATTCGGTGTTGCAAAAACTCTCCGCAATCGAAACCAGAGTAAAATCATGCGAGCGGCCCCATACATGTGTCGGTATTTCTGCTGAAGTGAAGGACAGACTTCTGTCGGACATAGCTCGTCTGGAGAAAAACATGCACGAGCTTGAACTCAAAGTCAAATCTCTGGAAATGAGACATGAGAGGTTGTGTACGGTAATGCGTAAAGCCGAACGACCAGTCAGAAACGTCAGGCGAACTCGGTGGAAACCCAAACGACGGATGACTCAGATCACGCCTACAAATTGTTACGTGAAGTAGCAACCATCACTGTACAGAACAGATTCCAGGTGCTCGATGCAAATCATGACAAATCCGACACCATCTTGGAAACTTCACATGAAAGCGCAAACCACAGCAATAACAACGAAGACCTTTGCGAATCCCGACGCAACAAAGGCGCACAGAGAAGTGAGAAGAGGTGAGCAGACTATTATGCATCAGGAACAAAACAGCCTGCTGGCGTGCCAAGCGACCGCCCAAAAGTCACAACACAACAAAATCTACAAAACAATGAAGCGCCACTGGACATGCTAATCCTTGGTGATTCCAACACAAGAGCTATCCAAACAGATATTCTTTATCCTGACAAGAATATCCAAAAAGACTTAACATTCAACCTGACACAAGCCACAGCGTACATTGAAAGTGCACCCATACCGGCCCCGAGAGTAATCTTCTTCCATGTTGGAACCAACGATGCACGTGACATGAGGGACTCTACAAAGGTATCCGAAGGTTTCCGAAAGCTGATCGAATTGTCCCACGACAAGTTTCCGCATACTCCCCTGGTCCTGTCTTCAATCCCACCGAGAGACGACCGTGAACTTCAGGCGATAGGAGACAACGTGAACTCGTTCCTACAAGTTGTAGCAGAAGAGACGAGCTACGTGCACCTTGCGGACAACAGTAACCTGACTAAAAATGGAACAATAAACAAATCACTGTACACCACAGATGGCTATCATCTGAACAGGTACGGGACCCGGGTTCTAGCCTCGAACATAAAAAAAGCAGTCAACCCGCTGATTGGCTGGCTAATGTGTAGTTTACGGCCCAACTTTTAACTTTGTCTGCTCGCCGCGCTAGTTGTGCAACGACGCCATTTTACGTGCGCGGGCATGTGGCGATTAAACCGCTCGGTGATTATTCAACCGTTTTGAACGATATCTACGATCGTAACGGTTATCAACGGTCGAGAATTTGTCGACCCATATCAACGGTCGAGAATTAACCCGGTCGAAATAAACACGGTCGAAATAGACACGGTCGAAATAGACACGGTCGAAATAGACACGGTCGAAATAGACACGGTCGAAATAGACACGGTCGAAATAGACACGGTCGAGGATTATGTGTATTGTGTATGTGTATTGTGGTATGTGTATTCACACTTATGTGATTGTGTATTCACACTTTGCGATGTGTATTGGGGTGTGAATTACTTAATGTGATTGTGTATTAACACTTTGTGATGTGTATTGGGGTGTGAATTGTGTATTAACGCTTTGCGATGTGTATTAGGGTGTGAATTACTATATTGCCTTTATCTTTCCCACACTATACTCATTACAGGGGTAACACCTCTAATGGATGTGTATTAATAAAAACGAGCTTACTTAATTCTATCCCCCCTCCCATTGTTAATAAGGCCAAGAAATGCCCGAATATAGACACACTACCTGTTGGCTATTCATTCCTAAATGCTACATGTTTTTTTCTTTCATCCATAGGCCCCTGTACTAATCTCTGCTACTCTTAGAGCCTTATGGTGGTCTCAAACCAGGGCTTTAGTCAGCTGGAAATTTTTTGTGAAAAAAAATTCCGTCAATGCCTTTCCTGATCCGGTGATCGACATCACGCCCTTCCGCACTCTTCCGCACAGTATGTTTACATACTGTTACATGATCTCATCAGGCATAATCAATATAAATATATATATGTGGTATGTGTATTCGCATTTATGCGACTGTGTATTGATACTTAGGGGTGTGTATTGGGGTGTGAATTACTATATGGCCTTTATCTTCCCCACACTGTACACTATTCAGTATACGCCAAGCTTATTTAATGTCTATCTCCCCTCCCACAGTTAATAAGACCAAGAAATGTCCGAATATAGCCACACTGCCTGTTGGCTATTCATTACCTTCGCGAAGAAGGTTATGTTTTCAGAGGCGTTCGTGTGTGTGTGTGTGTGTGTGTGTGTGCGCGCGCGCGCGTCTGTAAACACGATAACTTGAGAAGGCTTAAATGGATTGATGAGACCTGGAAATGATTTGATTTTTCTGCAGCGAAATTTCCAGTCATAAATATTAATATCATTTGGCGAAGGTATGAGATCGGGGAACTCTACTTCTTAAATGCTGCATCCTTTTTTTCCATCTGCCATAGGCCTCTACTACTACTCTTAGTGCCTTATGGAGTCAAACATACCTAGCACGTAAGTACCATGGACAAGAAAACAGGCACAGAAAACATCAGCTTTTAAGTACACGTCTTGAATAAAAAAATAACGTGAACAATTTGTATAAAATACTATACTGTAAGATAAATATATTTTGATATTTTTTTTAACGGTGTCGCTCAATGCAAGGCCAATTATTTTTGGCCACTTCTAGGCATAGAGCTAGAGGTACTTAAGTAAGTATAGTGTAGTTATATGTCAGGAGATGGCGGTGGACCTTTGTTTTGAAGCTTTGTGGATTGTAATCGGATGGAAAGCAGCTGTTTGGAAGAGAGTTCCATAATTTTGCAGTCCGGGGAAAGAAGCTGTTGTTGTAAAATGACTTGGAGACAGGTATGTTAACGGTGTATTGATGAGAACTGGAAGAGAACTGGTAGTGGCACGCTGAAAGGTTCTGAGCGGCGAGACAAGAAGTGCAAGTTTTCCTGAACATCGACCGTGAAAGTATCTGTAGAAAAGGGATAGGGATGCGACATTGCGTCTGTGTGAGAGGGAATCCAGCTTTGCGACCAGAGAATGGCCGATGGCATCACAGATTATATGTATAGTTTTACTCTTGTTGCTAGACTCAGGTGCAGGCAGGAAGAGTGGCTGCCATTTCCCTCTGTTTTCGGATCAACCCTGTTTTCTTATAGCCAAACTTGTACGACTGAATCCGCGCCAGTCCCTTTCAAAAGTGACTGGCGTAATACATTTCCAATGGAGGGAGTCACTTTTGGGGGTCTTTGTTCCCTTACGGGCGCAAATGACCTCATGGCCCGGCGGTTATCCGCCTGACGGGAATCTTTCGCCTACATGCGTCGGCTAAGCGCAAAAATTTGGGCCGCTGCGCTTCCAACTCGCCGAAATCGGGGGACCGTCCCGTCCGGAGATGTCCGGCCCTGGTGACGTCATCACTGGCAACAGGTGAGAATGTTGGTCGGGCCCGCCACGGCTGCAGGTGGCGCCGGCGGCCCGACTTTATGCGCTTGGCCGACGCACCTGGGCGAGAGGTGTATCCTAAGCCTATAGGCTTATCGCTCTTTATTTCCTCTCTTTCGTTATATTGATTTGAAGTTCAAAAGTGACTGGCGTAATACATTTCCAATGGAGGGAGTCACTTTTGGGGGTCTTTGTTCCCTTACGGGCGCAAATGACCTCATGGCCCGGCGGTTATCCGCCTGACGGGAATCTTTCGCCTACATGCGTCGGCTAAGCGCAAAAATTTGGGCCGCTGCGCTTCCAACTCGCCGAAATCGGGGGACCGTCCCGTCCGGAGATGTCCGGCCCTGGTGACGTCATCACTGGCAACAGGTGAGAATGTTGGTCGGGCCCGCCACGGCTGCAGGTGGTGCCGGCGGCCCGACTTTATGCGCTTGGCCGACGCACCTGTGCTTGGTTACCTCATGGCCCGCTCACAAACCTCTCGCCTCTGGCTCTCTAGCTCACGCTAACCGTGTCTGACCGCAGTACTCAGTAATAGAAAAGTGTATACGTCCGATCTTGGTTCGGATGCCGCAACCGTCCAATCTAATCCTGTCAGTGATAAGCAAGTTTTATCTCAGATCTTTATCATATAACACTGGATTGTTGGAAGGAAAATTATGATCAACTCATATATTGTTTTTGGTAGTGCCTTGTTTTTTTTAGACCGGACTCTTTTAGACACTACACGTGCGGAGGAGGACATGTTGAAAGCTCGGTCACCAACCCACCATTGTATCATATTACAGAAGAACTTTATTGCACGACAATTGTACAGGGTACATTGTATGGCAAATAGGTAACAATAAGTAGCATAGTAAAATAGATAGGTATAGAATAAAACTTAACAACTAATATATAGAAAAGAAATAATCAAAAGTTAGCTTAGGCTTTACAATCAGGCGGAGTTATCTATGGTTACATGTGACAACAAATCAGTATTCTTTCTAATAACAAAACAGTCTTTTATGTATTTACCTATTTTTGCATTGTGTGGGCTGTTGCATTTAAATATATAATCAAACCTATCTGTTACAACAAGTCTATTGAAATCTGTCGTATTTGAAGAGAGAAATTTGAATAGCTTATCACGTAGGACATCATATCTAGAGCATTCCATGATAAAATGAAATTCATCTTCGATTTTCTGTGGGCAAAATGGGCAAAATACATGCACACGGCAGCTACCGTGTCATGTATTACTGGGGTGAACAATTTGTGACAAAACTTTATAAACGCTCAGACTCTGTACTACCTGTGTCCTCTCGGGGCCCCAAACCGTTCAAATTCGACAGAAATGTCCAGGGAAATTAATGGTTTTGTCGTCACTTGATTAATAAAACTTGATTAATACCTACCTGTCCCTTCTATATCAAAGTCGTGCCAGCTCCATTGGTTATGTCCAACAGCAAACTGGTGTACCGGTAACGGTGTGTTCTCCATGGGATATTCACGGTTACAGTATCTAGTAAATCCAGCATCAATATACAGGCGGAAAAAAAAAGGCCGGCAGAAAACAAACAAGATTCCTACATTTTCAAGTGTTGAGTTGCCTTTTTAAACAGGAATTGTGACAAAACATGACATCACAACCTATAGGTCCACTTATGTTATATCAGAAAAAATGCCGAAACTCATGATGTTTAAATTTAGGAACTACGGTCATTCAATACTCTTTCCTTTTTGTACTACTAGTATGTCCAACGTTCTATATCGCTGACATACCTTGTGCCACGGATACATTGTGCCACGTATAATTGTCGTGAAATAAATCTCTTTTTTATTACTGTATTCAACAGGAATCTAACAGTATCCCCTGACCTTGTAGATATTGATATACAAGGTATAATACGTTTTACTTCAGAGAAAAATTAATAACCTAAGTGTAAAATGGAAAATCACAGTAACATACGACATCATGATACGTAGGTATGAAGTGTTCACATATAATTGTGCTATTTCACAACATGACAACCACCAAGGAGCTTCAAACAAGCTTGCACAAACAAATCGTAATTGTGTTCCTTTTTTCGTGGTTCACAACCAAGGATGTCATGTAAAAGAAACTGACGACCAACTTACTACCAGGTCAGGCTGTGACTAGATGACGTTGTTGTCTACCATGCTTTCTTTTTGTTCCCTCTCGGATACAACAGAACAACTTGATGACATGGATGACTAGATGGCATCATCTGGGAACCCTTACAGTATGGTCGAAAAATTTACTTTCGATGAACGGACGTGTCATCCATGTAATCAAATCGACATGGCCTTATGTCTAACGGAAGCAGCACGTGGCCACCACGTGGCCACCACGTGCCGTTCGAACAGGTGACACGTGTTCTCGATCTCGTAACCTTGGAGACTGAGAAGTCGAGCGTTTTTAATATCCAGCCGGAAAGCCACGTCGAGAGTTCTATGTGTTTCTCTTTTCCTTCCGCGAGAGAAAGTAGTCCGTTCCACGGCTCCGGGCGTCGACTCGCCTCACAAGAAAGCTTACCGCGGGATTATACAATCACATATCTTCTTTATTGTAACTTATTGATAATATTTAGACTTCCTAA